AGCAGGAGGCCACGGGAAGGGAGTTTTCTTCCACCCTCTTAGGGTCCCTGGGTGGGTCTGATCATTAAACTGAGGAAGACAGATTAGCAGGAGAAAAAGCACACACACTAATTTAGTACTGGATTTACATGACATGGGAGCCTTCATGAGGAAGTGACCCGAAGAAACCGTTGATTAAGCGAGCATTTTTTATGCGAGGTTTGATGAGAGTGGCAGGCCGGGAGAGGAGCGGTCGGAGGGCAGCAGCCTGGGGAATCTTAGTGAGACTGATCGCTGGGATCTTCTCCGCTCCCATTGGTCTTCGGAAGCCAGGGAGCTCCTTCTGCAGGTTAAAGAGAAGGCACCAACGATGAGCTGTTTCAGGGTAGAAGGCCGGGGCGGGGTCAGAGAGACCTTCCTCCCTCAGCTTTCTCAAACTCCTACCCTCAAGGTCCCTCAGTTTGGGGGTAGCGTGTCTTGAACCCCCATCAGACTTCAGTGTCATCACCCGCACCCATTCGGGGTGGTGACTTTCTGGGAAGGATGAGAGAAAGGGGAGTCAAAGGAGTCTGGGAAGGGCTTGTGTGCTTGAGGGGCACCAGGGAGGCTTTGTGAAGCTTCTCCAATGCGCACTTCATCTTCCCAACCCTGCTGTTTGCAGAGAAGGAAAGTAGACCAGGGCGGTCAGCTAACTTCCCAAGGTCAGGAGCTAATCGGCACACTTGGTGGAGCTGGGATTCCAGTGGAGCTCTTCCTGACCTGGAAACTTTCCCATTGTTCCAGAGCTCTGTGCTGAGTGCTGTGCGGCCCCTTGTGAATAAGGAAGAGAAAAAGGGCAGTGATACCACCACTGTAGGTAGTAGAATCCGTTTGCAGGTTTACTTAGTGAAAACAGTTCCTTCGTTTGGAAATTCTTGAATCATATTTTATTTATAATAAAATTTCCTGCCAAATAGTGTTACACATTTTAAAGCGTTAGTTTTTTAATGTCTTCTATTTCCTTTAGATCTTTATGGTGCCATATACACCTATTATGTTGGTAAATTCTGTGATTTTCATTTTATTTATTTTTCTCCATCAGTGTTTGCTTTCACAACCAAAGTTTTGGGCCATTCAGACGTCGGCCTTGATCCTGCGGACAAAACTTGAGAGAGGAAGCACACGCCGAGTGGAACGGGCAATGAGGCAGACACAGGTAGGAGGGATTCACGTGGCAGTTTTTGTTTTTCTTTCAACTCTTTATTGCCATCAATAAGCATACATGTCTGTCACGAATCTACAAGAATGAGATAGCTCTCATTTTGCTCAAAATCTTTGTTATTGTTTAGAGCATGGATTTTAAAATTTGAAACCAAATGTATGGGTCTTCACAACAAAGAAAAGAATTCTATTTATTAAAAATCACTTCATAATAGAACAGCAAAATGCTGAAATGATCAAAGTGTTAAAAATGATCAACTATGTATATTTTATTAAGATAAGTGTATGATGTCTTGTTCAAGGAAACCACTTAGTACCATTTTTAGGGGGATGGGGGCAACCAGTTTAAATATCTTTTAAAGTTTTGGCCTTCTGAATGCAAATAATACTAGAATACATTAATTTACTAATGAAGAACATTTTGACTTAGAAATAATTTGCTTTGTACTCATTTCTCCCATTAACTTTGGCATATAAAGTAATCATCAACATTTAATTTTTCGATTGTAGCAGCAATTAAACAAAACAAAACAAAACAAAAAACAAAAAACAAAAAAACTGCTGAAACCGGTTTGACTGAGTAGGTAGAGCATAGGCCTGTGGACTGAAAAGTCCCAGGTTTGATTCCGGTCACGGGCATGTACCTTGGTTGTGGGCACATCCCCCGTAGGACAGCTGATCGATGTCTCTCTCTCATCGATGTTTCTAACTCTCTATCCCTCTCTCCTTCCTCTCTGTAAAAAATCAATAAAATATATATATTTTTAAAAAGCTATAGAATTAAATTTGTTTACAGGTGTATAATACATCTTTTCAATTCAAAATCTGCATCATTCTATGAATTGTGCAGGTTATGTTTTTTGACATCAAACAACAGGATGTGCTTTGGCTGGGGCAAATGGACTTAAAGAAAGAGCTGAATCACTGTGCTCTAGCATTTTGCCAGTCTTGGCCTTTCTATACCTGGAGTGTCTTCATCTTGCTGACCAAATGCTGCATTTTGAGGGAGTTGTTATTTCTGCCTCTGCAAGGTTTATCTCAAAGAAAATCTTTGCACTCTCCAGTTAAGAGTTTTTGGAAATTAGCCAGATCATATAACAGATAAATATGAAATTTATCTAATTTTCTATCATTGTTGAACCATTTACCTCATACTCTAAACCTTTGCCAATTCCTCTTATCAGAGTTTGATATTACTGTGTTTGTTGAAATTACTGCATACCTGAAGAATAAGAGGAAAATGATTTGAAAAATACTTATATATATAAAACAATGTTTCAAAAAAGTTTTCATTTCTGTGAAAATTTGTTCCCTTCCTCAGCTGTATAAAGTGATAAGATGATAAACTGTTAAAGTGGAAAGAAAAATAAGCTAGGAGGCGCTCTTAGGGCAAAGCTCAATCCTGCCATGTTGCAAGTTGGGAAAGTGCAGGTGTGATGAGGTCAGGTGCCTGGCTCCCCGTTGCCTGGTTAGTTAATGACACGGTCTGGACTACAACTTACACAGCAACAGGCCATTACATGGAAGGATCCAGTGGCAGGTCCTAACGATGGCAGGTTTGCAGGGGATTTCTACGTGGACATGCGAAACTTGCAGAGGAAGTAGGGTATCACAGCTCAAGGTGAATAAACCAGCACCATAAGGTCACTTAGGAAAAGGGGCTCCAGGTTGAGGACCACCCATTAAAAAGGACAACCCATTAAAAACACTCTACCTTGAAATTCTTCTAGGCTGGAGTTCTTCACTTATTGCATGTTCAGTATTTATTGTCCAGTGTTTCTTTATACCCTGCTTCTTGCCAATGGAGTATAAAGTAATACTGTTCTATCTTGTAATTCAGTTTCCCCCTCCCAGACTGATCCAAATCCAATACTAACCTTTTCATTTTTATAAGCTCATGTCTTGTTTTCCTTCATTGTGGTGACAGCAGTTCCTTACGTGTATAAATCCAGATATGAAGCAAATTAATTGAACACATACATTCAAAGAGGCCATCTTATGTCCCAACCAAAAAAAGTTGTGCAAACCAGTTGTCATCATTGTCTTCTGTCATACTGCTTTAACCTAAGTTTAAATAAGCTGAGCTCAGTCATTGAGGGTTAATGTGAGACTATTTTATGTTCATTATTAAAATAATCTTGCTAATGAATGTTATTTAATCTGTTAATTTAAATTATGATCTGCTCCTGTCTGGGTGGTTTTGCCTCTGAGGACAATTACCTAGTAGGGATCTTTTCCTTCACCATTGAATTTCTGGAAGGACATTGCATTGAGTTGGGAATTTGAGATTATAGCCATTTTCTGTCACTAGAGATTGTTCATACTGTAATTTGACTTTTTTAACTGTGGTAAATAGTTAATTGAGATTTCACAATTTTTAAACAAATTTAAAAAAATCTGATTTTGTTGAAATTAAGTGACTTATGCTTTGAAGGAATTGGGATTTTTATGGTTAATTATTGGAGGGAAGAGGACGCAGACCTTGGTGATTGGTACCATTGTGGAGATTATTGCTCTGTGTAGGTTGAAAGATTTCTCTTTTAGAATTTGGTCATTTATATGACTATTTGTTTCTAAATAATGATTAAGGGCATGTCATAACAAAAGCCTTAATTGGGAAAACTGGCCATAGTAACATACACTAAGCTTTGTACTTATGTTTGAATAATTTGAGACAGAGATCCTTTAGATTATTTTTATATGGATGGAATGCCATACTCTGTTAGGCATTATGTGTAACATCTGGACTAAGCACATGGTTAGTAATGGCAAAGTGTGTTTTTGCTTTTTTAAACTATGTCCCTGTTCCTAATTGTTTTAATTTTAGAAACAATACCTGGTCATTATAAAAAAATGTAAGCAATACAGAAATGGAAACTAAAAAGAGTTTCTCCCCCTTTGCTTGCCTTCCAATCTCAATAGTTTGTATCCTTCTAGACCTCTTTCTGTTTACAAGTAAACAAGTATGTTTTAATATCTTTGGCCCCTTGAGTGTGGCTCTTCCATTAAATACCATGGCCTGGGTGAATCTATTTTGAAGAAGTGGCGTTAGAAGAAGTTTAAGTTTAAAAACTTTGGCTCTGAAAAGAAATTTCAATCGTTGTATTGTTGATATTTGGCTCTGTTGACTAATGAGTTTGCCCACCACTGGTTTAAGGTATGTTTGCTCTCCTCACTCCCTCACTCCCACCCCTCGCTTAAAAAGACCACCTTCAGATTTAACTATAACCAAGTGCTTGTGAAATTCATAACATTTAGAAGCTGGAAAGAGAAAATGGCAAGTGAAAGGTTGGGACACTGATCTAGAGGCCATTTACCTAAATTTCTGGGTATGCGTGAAAGCTTGCAAAGTGCTGTTTTCTTCCTGACCACATTGTTTACGCCCATGTTCATGAGCATAAATATGCACAGTAGTAAGTGAGGCTTCACTTTCTTTCAGTCCCATTCTCCTAGGACTCATCCAGTATTCACCACCCTACATTCTTTTCCAGACTATTTGGGTACGTGGCTCACCCTAACGGATGTATGTGCAGCTGTGTTCCGCTAAGGGTGGCCAAAACCAACTAACAAACCCCAAATGCTTGAAATAAAAAAAATACTCTTTTGATAAAGCCATATATTCAGAATATTGGCGTCGTAGAGATCATGTAGGAAATCTAGGTAAGTGTCATTGTGGTTACTGACCTGCTTGATAAACCTAGAACAGATTCAGGTCACTTCACTTACCAGCTCTGTTTCTCCTGAAGGGACTCCAGTTTATTTGTATAATGGAATTATTCACCGTGTCTGTATGGGATTCTAATTTGTTTGAATATAATGGAATTATTTAAGAATGAGTTGCTGGAAATAATTCTACTCTGAAAAATGTAGAGATGTGCTGTAAATATGCCCTCTATTTATAGTAACTTTGCAAATAAAAAAAGAGTACTTTTACCCATGACCCTTAGTTTTGTTGGTAGGTGTATCTTTTTTTTTTTTTTTTTAATATATTTTTTTTTATAGAGAGGAAGAGAAAGGAATAGAGAGTTAGAGACATCAATGAGAGAGAATCATTGATCAGCTGTCTCTTGCACACCCCCTACTGGGGATGTGCCCACAACCAAGGCACATGCCCTTGACCGGAATCGAACCTGGGACCTTTTAGTCCACAGGCCGATACTCTATCCACTGAGCCAAACCAGTTTTGGCGGTATGTGGATCTTATTTTGATGGTTGTTTTGCTTAAAGTGCAGAGAAGTATGTTTTGTGCAGGAGTAAAAATAGGTTAAAATTCTGTTTTTAATCTTTATCATACATATGGCCTAGTCACATTCTTGTGAAGCGGGAGTGTACTTGTACCCGGGCTTATTCATGGGCTCCGGCTCAAATAGGTTTGGTTCCCTGCCCTCTCTCTGCTGTGGCCTTTGCCTTTGGAGAGGATCTGAGACTATCAAGGACACTTACTCTGAGATCATCTAAAAGTATCTTAGAGTATCTGAAATACATAACAGAATTGTTTATTAATAATCATGAAGTGTTTACTGTTTAATATGTTTAAGCTAGATGTAGTAACTACAGCAAACAAAGTGAGCTTTGCTTGAAAATAAAAAGCTTTTCATGTAATTAGGACTTCATAAAAGTAAATTTATTATTATTAGATAAGCATTAGTTCCTTTTTTTTCCTTCCAGAGAAAGAAAAAGAATTTGATAAAAAGAAAAGTTTGCCTCTCTTTTGATGAAGTAATTCAGTGAACCTTTTATTTATGTATTGTAACCATATGTATTCAGCCAGAAGTTTTTCTTCTCTTTGCTCCTTCATACAACTAAACAGCTTTGGGCAGAAGCATGCAACCTTTTTGCTATTAAGCTTCTCTGAAGTAAGGCCAGAAAGCTTTAAAAATATTTTGACCAAGATGGTTTAGGAGTGTGGTTATGTCTCAATTTGTTCTGACTGACCTGATGGAATAACATCTTGGATTGTCAAACAAGTGATGTAATGAGTAGCCTCTCATTCTACAGGATATTCTTAGGCTAACTATATATTTCCCACCTACCGTGTTTCCCCGAAAATAAGACATCCTCCGAAAATAAGACCTAGCGCAACTTTGGGAGAAAAAATTAATATATTAATTTTTTAAATATATGTCTTATTTTCGGGGAAAACAAGGTAGTATAATAGAGAGATTTCCCCAATTGAGGAATGATTTCCCTGCTCAGAAACTAGTCTTTTTGTCCTGTACTTTTGCTGGGATAGGTTACATTCTTATCTTTGTCTTCTCTTTTTTTTCTGAGGAAGTTTATATTTGCTACTATTTTCTTTTTCTTTAAAAAAATGTCAGTCTTAAAAATTAACTTTGTAAAACTTGAAACAATTTCAAACTTACAGAAAAGTTTCAAGTACAGTACAGCTATCTTTTTGGTCTTGAAGTGTTGGAAACTAAGTTGCCAGCATGGTGCACAACCATCTTCAAATTCAAGGACATTCTCCTACATAACCATAGCATGTGTATTAACACCAAAAAACCAACCTTGCCATGTTGTTACTTGGAGGGAGCGGTTATAGGGTTAAGCCTCAGACTGACCTGCTGGCAAAGTCACCAACAAGTCCCAGGTTAGAGGGCACAGCCCTCTAAGCATAATTAAGCTTGATCTTATGACTACTTCCTAGCCCTTTCCTGGGTAGCTAGTGGACTGTGGGAGGTGCAGCAAGTGCTGCCAAAACAAGTGAAACTCACAAGAACACTGTAACTATGGTGACCACTAGCTTGTTTACCTCTGACTATAAAATAAAGGCTTAGCATGCCTCTGCATCTGTTCTGTGGCCTCAGCCAGGCACTGAAGATCCACCTAGACCCAGCTTATTCTCTTTATCTTTTCTTTATCCTTTGCTGGTCCTCCCTCAGGCGCTCCGAACCTTTGGCTGTGCTGGCGTGGCCCAGTTGCTATCTACTCCTCATGAGATAGGGCTGTGAAAAATAGTCAACTGGCAAGGAAGTAAAATTTGATTACTATATTATGCAAAAACAGTTACAGTTTAAAAAAACATTTGCTACAAACTGAATGACAAATTAAGAGACAGGTGAAGACGATTATGATAATAGAGCTGCTGTTCATGTGTTTGATTAGGAATTCCAGAATATGTCTGCATTCACTTAGATGCTGAATATGTGAGTTTTTTTGATGGTTGACCACTTGACCACTGGATAGTGTAGCCTTTGACTTTGCAGTTGGCCATGCTACCTTTAGCCCTCTTGGTCATATTGGTCTGCTTCCTGATGTAGCTTCCAGATGTTCAGTTATTCAGTATCCCTGTAGGTCAAGCATGTCAAACTTGTGGCCCACAGGCCTCTTGCGGCCCACAACTAATATTTTTGCAGCCCAGCCAATATAATGGTATGTAAGGAATATTTTAATAAAAAATTTGTAACTTAACTTTTACAATATCCTGTTATACATAATTATTAATAAAAAACTACAGTGTTCGCTAATGACTGATTACTATAATCGTGTTGCATTCATTTCCCTTACGCGCCTTACACGCAGGTGCACCATTTCTCTGCACTAATAGTAGCAGCGAATATGTTAGCAGCTGATGGCCACATTGTTAGTCTTGTACTGACTTGTTTGGTGTGCACAACAGGAAATATTTCACTTTCGAAAAACAAGAAAAATAGATTTATTTGTGTTATGCTTATTAATTTGCGCTGTTATTCAGTGTTTAGTAAGTAAATGTTCAAGAAAAAAATATAGATTTTTATTAAAATGTTCTATTTATGTGAACAATTACTTATTTCAGCTCTTTGTATTCAGCATGTCTCTATCGAAATAAACCTACGTTTCTATGAAAATTGAAGCTTCTGTTTTTTTGCAGCCCACATAAACTTAAACCTTGTTTATTTGGCCCATGTAAGCCTTTGCATTTGACATGGTTGGTGCAGGTATATCAGTTGCGGGAGGTGTGTGTGTGTGTGTGTGTGGCAGTTCTTCAGTGCACAAGTGCACACCACTTTTCACTGTCCTCTGTCCCTTAAGGGTGATCTTGCATGAATGAATGTCCAGCCTTACAGTTCTGTTGCCGAAGAATAAGATAGTTCACTTTCTGTGATCAAATAGATTCACCTTTCACTTTCATCTTGTTCATGAGAAAATAGTCCTAAATGAAGTTCTTTTTAAAAATATATATATTTTATTGATTTTTTTACAGAGAGGAAGGGAGAGGGATAGAGAGCCAGAAACATCGATGAGAGAGAAATATCGAACAGCACACCCCCTACTGGGAATGTGCCCGCAACCAATATATCCCATATTTTCCGGCGTATAACACGACCCCCCTAACATAGGTTTAGGCCTAAATTCGCTGTATAAGACTACCCCCTACTTCAAAGAAAAGACTTACTTTGCTGTCAAGATCTGCAGGTAATTTTTGTGCAATTTTGGTCTTTTGCCCCCGATTTTCGGTTGACTTTTTTTCGTTTCAAAAATCGTCTTATACGCCGGAAAATACAGTACATGCCCCTGACCGGAATTGAACCTGGGACCCTTCAGTCCAAAGGCCAATGCTCTATCCACTGAGCCAAAAACCATTAGGGCTTAAATTGAGTTCTTTATATAATTTTTCTCTAATTCATAGTAGAGAGTACCATTGTCAATGTGACATTAGGGTTGTGAAATAGATACACTATAAAAGAGCTGATTAATAAGGATAGTTCTTTGAAGTAACTGTTAGAGGAAGTTCTAGTTTTAAAAACATTCTGATAAGTTTTAATGTACATGTTTATTTAAATGTTGATTAAAGTTTTTTTTTATGTTTAAAGAAATTCAAGAAAAAATTTACACGCCCCATCACCTTATCACCATGACTTTTTTTTTTTTATTGTTTCTGTGTATACTTTTATAACTTTTACAAGAAGAATCTTGTTTAAATTTAAATTTTTATATATATATATGTAGATTCTGATTAGGATTTGTGCTCTTAAGGCTCTTGCAGACCAATTTGAAGACAAGACTACCTCTGTATTGGAGCGTCTGAAGATTTTCTATTGCTGTCAAGTACCACCTCACTGGGCCATTCAGGTATTGTTGTTTGTCATTGGATATACTTTGCTTTTGAAAGATAAATGTATTAGAAAATAATGATATCCAATTTATGTCTGTTCTCAGATATTTCAGTAAAAAGAATTAAAATAGTTGGAGATTGTCCATTACTTCAAATATCTATTTTGATTAAAATGATATTAGACTTTTAAAACATTTTTAAAAGAATTTAAAACTAGATAAACATAATCCTTGAAATTAAATAATAGGATAACCACAGAAGCTTTGATTTTCAAAGTAACATTTTACATTTAAAAGCCCTGTGAGGACTTTCTGCCAAATAAATAATGAACCTTATACCAGGCTATTTACGGAGTGTAAGAGAAAGCATTTATTTCTTACTCTCCTGTAAGATATCCATTACTACTTTCCTCTTCTTGAGGATATGAGATTACCTGTTGTAGCTCCTAACTCTATGTTGGGGTGGAGATTCTGACCTCCTGACCCATAGTTTTAGCACTGAAGGCGATTTAGACACTTGGTCCAATTTCTTAATTTTACAGAGGAGAAAATTATTTTATTGCAAAAGCAGACCCTTGAATGGCAGATTAGATAAACATGCAAGTGAAATGGGAATCTGTCTTTGCATAAAGAAATGTTCATTATTTTAACTTGATTTTTCTAGCGCCAACTTGCAAGTTTACTCTTTGAGCTGGGATGTACCAGTTCAGCCCTTCAGATATTTGAGAAGCTAGAAATGTGGGAAGATGTTGTCATTTGTTATGAAAGAGCTGGGCAGCATGGGAAGGTATGTAATAGTAACATTCTTTGTGCTGGCAGGAACCTCTGTCTTCAAGCACCTTCTCACTTGGTCTCTTTTTAAGCCTACTTTTGCCAATAGTTCACTTATATCCCTTTTTCTATTTTACCCCCCAACCCCCATTATCTTTTTAATGTTTTATTTTTAATAATTTCTGTTTATAAGTCTGCATGGATGATGTAGACTAATAAAGGTATAATATGCTAATTAGACAGGATAGACTGGATGTCTTCTGGACAAAAGCCACAGCGGCTGTGAGGGCTGAGGAGGGTTGGCAGCTGCAGTGGCTGGCAGTGGCAGCAGCAGCAGGGTGATGGGTCCGGTCGCCTCCCGCAGAGGGAGACCAGACTATGGCATAAGCCTGCTCCCCATGGGCCTAATAGGACATCCCCTGAGGGCTCCCAGAATGTGAGAATGTGCAGGCTGGGCTGAGGGACCCACCTCCCTCTAGTGCACAAATTTGTGTGCACCAGGCCTCTAGTATATATATAAGAGAAAAGCCTGCCAAAGTTGATACGGTATTTGACATTTAAGAATGAGTAATGAAAGCTTAAAGACATTTCACATTTTGATCTCTTTCCTTTATGATTCTCCTCCTGTAGGATAACTTCACATGGAAAGATTAGGAGTTATTTTCACTGTTCCTGGGTTGTCTGGTGATCAGAGGCTGTGGGTCTGAAGGAAGGTTGTCTAGGAAGGAGAGTGACTGGCTGGATCTTTAGAAGAAAATCGAAAGGTTGTGATGACTACTGGGGCAGAAGAGTTGTTAAGTGTATAAAGTACATTTAATTCCACCTTAAATTCGGTCAGGAGGGGAAATATTGCAGTATTTGCATCTGTTATTAATCTATTGTTTTTCCCCTCATAAATGAACAGGATTTTTAAAATAATAAGGGGCTCCATACTGTGAATATTTGTTAAAACTGACACATTGAAATTGTGTTGATTTTGGATTAAAATTTTAAGTGACTAAATTTCTATCTTAAGTATAGTATGCAAAAAAAAAAAAAAAGTAAAACCCACAAATTGGGTCATTTTTATCTATAGTTAACCTTTCACCATCACCATAAAAAAGATTAAGTGGTACATGTGTGTCTATTTTGCAAATACTTTCTACAGAGTGTCAATTTTAGACTAGTAGTAGAAGTTCCGTTTTTTTTCACTAATCACTAATGGCAGTGGAGGTTTTGAGTTGTATTGACTGATGGAGAAACTAGTTTGGAAGTATAATTTTACTGTGAGAAGATTATGTAATTACTAGGGGCCTGATGCATAAAATTAGTGCACTGGGAAGGAGTCCCTCAGCCCAGCCTGCCCCTTCTCACATTCTGGGAGCCCTCAGGGGATGTCCTACTGATGGCTTAGGCCCGCTCCCCATTGGGCAGTCTGGCTTCCCTTTGTGGGAGGTGACCGGACTGATCAGGGGAAGGCGTCAGCCCCATCACCGCTGCTGCAGCCACTGCCAGTAACCACAGCTGCCAAGGTATTTTCATCAACACAGACTCCAGTCTCTTCATCACCAAAAAATGACAACTTTCTTTAAGCATTTTCAAGATGTGTCTTTCATAGGATAATTTCTTTCTTTCTTTTTTTCTTTTTTTTATCCTCACCTGAGGATATGTTTCCTTTGATTTTTCCCCCCTTCCCTCCAATCCCAGGCTTGGCCCCTCCCCAAGCCTAAAGCCTCTGCCCAGTGGCCGGCTGGGAGTGACCTGGGTGCTGAGGAGGTTTCCAGTACCCAAGTATGTATGTAAATTAACTGCCATCTTTGTTGGGTTAATTTGCATACTCACTCTGATTGGCTGTGGGTGTAGCGGAGGTATGGTCAATTTTACATGTTTCTCTATTATTAGGTAAGATAATGTTTCCATCCTCAGAAAGAGCTTCTTCTTCTTCTTTTTTTTTTTTTTTTAATATATTTTTATTTTATTGATTTTGTACAGAGAGGAAGGGATAGAGATAGAAAGAAAGTTAGAAACATCGATGAGAGAGAGTCATCGATCAGTCGCCTCTTGCACACCCCTACTGGGGATATGCCCGCAACCAAGGTACATGCCCTTGACTGGAATCGAACCCGGGTCCCTTCAGTCCCCAAGCAGACGCTCTATCCATTGAGCTAAACCAGTCCTGGCCGGAAAGAGCTTCTTAATTACCCATTCCAGTTCCCTATTTTTCCACATAAAGAAGGGGGTCTCTAATGATTTGCCTCAGGTCACAAGGCCAGTTATTGATCATTAACTTGAGAGGTTGCATGCACAGTGGTTAAAAGCGCAGCTCTAGACCCAGGTTATCTTGATTCAAATGCTAGACTTGACACATGCTAGCCATGTGATTTTGGGCAAGTTACCCCCATGCCTCAGGTTTCTCATGTAGAGGCACATAATCTATAACCTTATAGGTTTTCATGACATATGTATGTAAAATAAATAGAATTGTGCTTTCCAAAGGTGCTACACGAGTGTTTGCTGCTATTACTGCTGCGATCTTAGACACATTTTTTCACATTTTAACATCTCTGAATTTGGAATGTATCTAACACTTGATGGTACCTCCCAATTGCTATCAGTGAGGTGGCCATGGCCAGGCTGTCATTGTCTGTGCTAGTACAAGCCCAGTTGTGGCCATATTTCATACCCTCACTTTGATTGCATTATGTGCATGGTGTCAGTGCTACCTGGGTTGGATGTAATTGCCATTTTAAATATTTTCAGAAAGATCCCATTATGAGTTGGCATTGAGACAAAAAATTATTGAACACACAGGAAAGGAGAGAAGCAAAGTAAGAAATGTAAATTTGATATTAGGGAAGTAAACAGTTGTTATTGGAGAAATCACCACAATTCCATTTACTTTTCCTTAAAAAACAACAAAGTGCTTTGTGGAAGCTGAGGAAAGAAGGTACCTCAGAATAAATGGATCTTATTCTGTACCGTTATGTATCTAAAGAAAGGCTGCCATTTATAGTGTCAAGCAACATACTGAATGAAGGCAGGAAAAATTGCCAAATTTATTTGAATAGATTGAAAAAATATCAAAGCAGTGAGAGGGATGTGATTCATTCAAGGCATTGTGTCATAATTTAATTGAAAGCATTTTTTCTTTAAGAGTTAGTCCTATAATTGATTGCATTCGAAATTTGATGAGATGTAGTGTCATGTTTCTTCGGGGACTTAAAAAAATTTAAGGTCCATTGTCTGGCACTGAAGTAATACTCAGATGTTTGTTTAACAAAGGAATGAATATCTTGACCCTGCTAGTCTGATGTACTTTCCATTACTTCATTCTTCAATATGCGAGTCTTTTACATTGGTCAGTAAACATAAATAATACTGTCTATAAAAATATGGTGGTTCTTTGAAATAATTAAGCAAGTTGGTGAATCACAAATACCCAAAACCCATTTTGAAATATTACATTTATTTAATTATTTTTAGAAAGTATGGAAAGTAGAGACTTTCTCTAATTGTAGAAGCAAACATAATTAATCTGTCCTTTTCAGATAACAGATTTGACTGTGTACTCAAAGTAATTGTGGCATTGTTTTTTTTTAACACCTTAAGAAATGTCATAATAATGATAAATTTCTATGTTTATAATTATTCTAGAAAATTTGCGTATTTTAATTTTTAGGAATATATAATTATTTACTTTGTCTTAAGTCTTTTGTGAGTTACAGCCAAATATTTCTCAAAATCTTGATTTTAAAGTTTGATTTTAGCATTTTATTTGCCACATAAAAAACTTCCCTTACCTGTTTGTTTGTCGTATGCTGTATTAGCAGATCAGTTTAACCATAAGACCCTAAATAGTTTTGCTTCAAGTTGGAAGCAAAAGTTTTATTTCTAAAACAGCTGAGATTCTTTTAGTATTTGGTCACGTGCCAGTAGTTGTCACTACAATCCAATTTTAATGATCGAATTTTAGTACTTATGGCATAATTTCTTTTTAAAGAGCAAGTTCGGAAAAGTACCTAATTCTAATCATCGTGTTCTGGAGCTCATTTTTTCACCTGCTATTGTAGGGTCTCAGAATTTCTAATTTAGAAACTACCTGTGGAGATTCTTATTATTTAATGACCATTGGCAAAATAGCTAAGGTTAATTCTGCTTGACCTTGGGGTCAGACCTGGCTCTCATCTGTTAGCATTTAATTTTTAAAGTTATCTGGCACACTATAGCAGTTTCCCCAGCATGTGGGCAGCTTATTTTGTTGAGCAAATTTGGTCCCTAAACGAAAGACAAAGACTGCACTGGCTGGTGTGAAGAGGGTGGAGGGAGAAGGGTTGGGACCTCTCTTGTTCTTAACAAATAAGGTTTACCTGCGATTATGTAGTTTTTTTCCTTCCAATACACTATATTTGCACATCATTGTCCCAATGGGCTCTTAAATATTGTTCTTGAAGTTGTAAGTAAATGTTTTTAACCTTTAACATTTTTAACAGCTGGGATTCTTTTAGCAGTTGGTTTGGGTTTTTTGTTTTTTCTTCTTCTAAGATAGTTTTTTATATGATTGAAAGTATTTCTCACAAGTTATTTTCCCACACTTCAGACTGATCTTCCTAAAAGACTAATCTGATCATGTCATTCCCACAGTCTTTAGTAACTTCCCTTTGTCTCCAGGATTAAGTCTGAGCTCTTTAACAGGACTGGAAGTCTTTTATACAAAGTATGCCCTTCAATCACAATGAGATGAAATTAGAAATCAATAACAGAATAAAATTTGAGGAAGTCACTAATCTATAGAAATTAACACACTCCTGAAAAACCAATAGGTCAAAAAAGAAATTACAGGGAAATTAAAAACAATTAAATTACGTAAGTATTTGTAATTTATGGGATGAAGTGAAAGCAATTCTTAGAGGAAAATTTATAGCTATACATGCCTATATTGAAAAAGGTGAAAGATTTCAAATCAATCACCAAATTTTCCACCATAAAAACTAGAAAAAGAAGAGTAAACCAAAAGTTGGTTCTCTATACCCCCAAGTA